AAGGGAAGGGAAGGGAAGGGAAGGGAAGGGAAGGGAAGGGAAGGGAATTCCTCCAAAAGGAAATTTGCATTTGCTTCTGTTAAGTGCCTACGTTACTACCATTCTGGAACCAATTTAGACTCAATCAATGGTTAGAGGTTTCTTTGGTCACCCAGGTAACGAGAATTTTGGCAGCAATCCCACATGAAGGATAGCCTATGGTTTATTAATTCTCAGTAAAAGGTTCTTCTGGGATTTATTTGCCCCTTTTTCTTTTTCCTCCCCTTGTTCTGCTCAGTACCAAGCAATTCTCCCCATAATCTCATGAAAGTGGGGGAAAGAGAAAGTAGGGAAGGGGGGCAGTTTTACTTTGGGCTCACCCTTACCTAAAGAATTTACCCCTACGGAGTCACAGTTTAATGTGGGGAGTGGCTATTAAACTTCTGATATTGGGAGGCCCTGAGCTTTAACTACTTTGCTCTTCATTCTAGGGGCCATCAAAATTGAAGCTCACAGCTTCCTAATCAGCAAAGGCCTTTCAGGCAAAAGCACTTTCAAATACTGATCTTTATTTTCTGGCATTCACTTGCAATTCCTCTCTATTATTAGCTCTTTGATGTTTTAGGATATTTGGGTTATATTTTATTCAAATATTCTAGTCGTCAGTATAAGAACTGGTTCAAACAACGTGGCTTGCCATTACCAGAAACAGAAGTCCTACATGTTATTAATTATCTTCAATTAGTTGAATGGAATTAATTTTTGAACTAATGAATAAATGACTTTCAATTTAATTAGATAAGTCAATCTCAAATTCAATAATCGGACCTCTCTGAACATCAATTTCATCATTCACAAAATAAAGAGGTGGAACTAAATGATCTCTATCACATTTTACTATTCTAAAAGATCAGGATTTATGTGTACACATACAATGTCACTTTTTAGCTTTTGGGTTATATCAACTCATTTAAAAACTGTGCCAAGTTATGTTTTATGTTGCTTATTAATAGATGCTATTTATGGTAGTCTGATGGGCAAAGTTTTCTCAAGGTGTCATAACAACTCCAAAATAACAGTAAGCAAGACTCACTGCTGCTGAAATGGATCCCTTCTCCATCTTCTCAAACCCAAGAGCCAAGACACAATCTGCCGTACCTAGAAAGAAAATGTAATTACTTTGAAAAATTTAATTTCCAGACACTCAACAAAATACATTAAATACTTCAATTTAAACAAGTATGTCAATTTATATAAAATTTAAAAACATACTAAAATCCGATAAAGTTTTTAAGTGAAAATTTAGAAAAATTCTTATATGCTACTAGGTAAGGGAGAAAATCAAGAAAGTGTTTAATTCTTTCTTTGATCCTCAATGTTAATAAAACTTTTTTTTTTTTAATATATCTTTACTGATTTTAGAGGAAGGAAGGAAGAGGGAGAGAGAGATAGAAACATCAATGATGAGAGTCACTGATTGGCTGCCTCTTGTTACGCCCCCAATTGAGGATCGAGCCTGCAACCTGGGCATGTGCCCTGACTGGAATCGAACTGCGATCTCCTGGATCCTAGGTCGACACTCAACTGCTGAGCCACACCTAGCCGGGCAATAAAACTTTTGATTAATGTGAAATATGTTTCAGTGAACAATAAATATAAAATAAGTAATTTTGAAATTTAAAACACTAAATTAAAGAAATATATTTTTAAAAGAATCCTGATCAAAATCTCAACAGAATAATTTTTGGAGGGTGGAGGCACCTAAAAAAATAATGTTAAAGTTCAACAGAACAGCAAAACAAGACGGAATTGACAAAATTTTTGTTTAAAAGAGAAAGAAAAGTAACAAGGTAGGGGAACAGGCTAGCATTATCAAATAGTATGACATTATAAAGCTCCAACAATAAAACACTGAGTAGTGGAACAATAATCAACAATCAATCAGTAGAACAGAATAAAGGGCTTAATAAAAGATCCTAGAATATTTGTAAATATAAAATATGATATATACCCAAGAGAACTGAAAGCCACACAAAAAACTGTACACAAATGTTTATAGAAGCATTATTCATAACAGCCAAAAAATGGAAACAACCCAATGTCTATCAACTGATAAATGGATAAACAAATTGTTGTACATCCATACAATGGAATCTTACTTGGCCATAAAAAGGAATGAAGTCCAGGTAACATGCCACAGCATGGATGAACTATGAAAACATAATGCTAAGTGAAAGCCACAAAAGGCCATATACTATATGAATCCATTTATATAATGTTCAGAATAGGCAAATCCATAGAGACAGAAAATAGATTAGTAGCTGTAAGGAGCTGAGGGGAGGGAGAACTGGGGAGTAACTGCTAATGGGTACAGGGTTTCTTTTTGGTGTGATGAAAATATTCTAAAATTAGATAGTGGTGATGGCTGCATAAATCTGTGAGTATATTAAAAAATACTGAATTGTATACTTTAAAGGGGTGAACTTTATAGCATATAAGTCACATCTCCATAAAGTTATTTTTTTAAGAAATACATTATAAAGCCATCCCTCTGATGATTGTGTGGAGAAATGATAAAAGGGATCAACAGCCCCGCGTTTATTTCAGTACACTAAACTAATAAGCACTACTCACCACCCTGAATCAGCTGCCGGGCCATAAACAATGCAGTAGAACCAGTAGAACAGTTATTGTTAACATTGATTATAGGAATTCCAGTCAGTCCCAAACTGTGATAGATAGCCCTCTGCCCACAGGTAGAGTCACCTATATAGAAAAAGAAATTAAAATTTTAATATATGCAGCATGGGAATTGTGGAACTGCAACACAACATAATACCACATTATGATATTTCAGTATTATGCCTTTGCCTAGCATATAATATAGAGAGAACAATACACTATTAACACCTTACTCAGAAACAGTTTTAGCATTAAACATCATTTATTGTGCAAATATAAAAAATTCTCAAAACACAAAATGTATGTGCACATTCTTTACACAATACAGAGGTAGGAAAGTTGAGAAATGACCGAGTAATAGCAAACAATTCAATATGGCTAGGGCTACATGATTAAGGAAGCAATATTTCATTTATACTGTTAGATATAAATCTTTAAAACTGTACCAATTGATGAAAAAGCCATGATTTCCTATTCATATAAAGAGTCCACAACTCCAAAAAGTCTAAAAGATCCTGTGCACCTGAGAATTCCAGAAAAATAGTGATCTTTGACTCCTTTTCCAAGTAATGCAGCCACCAAGGCAGACATGCTGGAGCAGTGTGATGGGAAACATATGAAGATACAAAGACTCTCCAGGGGTCTTCAGGGAAAACAGCAGGGTTCAAGACTTCCTTTTCAATAAATATACTGCATCTATTTGACCTAGTAAATTTCCATTCAAGAATTCTCTTGATCTCTTAAAGCCTCAAGGAAATAATCATGGATATGCACAAATATTCATCTACAGTGTTGCTTACTATATAGCCTTTTTTAACAATTAGAATTTAGAAATAATTTTTTAATTTTTGTTTTCATAATTTTTATTTATTGATTTTAGAGAGGGGGAAGACAGTGAGAGAAAGAGAGAAACATCGATTCACTGTTCCACTTACTTATTCATTCATTGGTTGCTTCTTATGTGTACCCTGACCAGGGATGGAACCCGAAAACTTGGTGCATTGGGACAATTCTAATCAACAAGCAACCCAGCCAGGGATTTTTTTTAATTGATTTATTTTCTTTTTTTAGAGCGAGAGAAGAAGGCAGAGAGGGAAAGAAAGAGAAAGAGAGAAACATCAATTTTGTTGTTACACTTATTTATGTATTCATTGGTTGCTTCATGTCTGTGACCTGACTGGGATGGAACACACAACCTTGGCATATTGGGAGGATGATCTAACCAACTAAGCTACCTGGTCAGGGTAGAAATAATTTTAAACTGTCCAAGAACAGGATATCATTACTACTACTAAATAAACTAGTAAATCCCCAAGACTAAAATATCACGCAATCATTAAAAATCCTGAAGAGAGACTGGAACATCCTAAATGTTCATTAAGAGAGGGTAGATTAAATAAATGATGTATCTATTCTATGGAACACCATGATATCATAAAAAAAGACCAAGGAAGCTCTTTATGATATAATGTGGAATAGTTACCAAAAACTACTAAACATAAACAAGGAAACTACAAAATTTTGTATGCAGCCCTAGCAGGTTTGACTTAGTGGTTGGAGCATCAGCCCGCAGACTGAAGGGTCTGGGGTTCAATTCCAGTCAAGATCACGTACCTCGGTTGCAGGTTCAATCCCCGGCCACGGTTGGGGCTCATGTGGGAGGCAACCAATCAATGTGTCTCTCTCACATTGATGTTTCTCTCTCTCTCTCTCTCTGAAAAGCAATGGAAAAATATCCTCAAGTGAGGATTTAAAAAAAAAGCATACGCATTTTGCTGTCATGTGTGTAACAAAAGAAAGGGAAAAGGGGAACTTACACTCATGCATACTTGTTTGTATATATATATAAATTACCTCTGGAATCATACACTAGAAATTAGTGAAATTGGTTGTCTAAGAAAAGGGAGCCATGAGACAGGGAGACAGAAATAAGGAGACTTTCCACTATATAACCATCCACCTTTTGTATTTTGTTATCGTGTAAATATTTAATCTATTTCAGAAAAAAAAAAAATTTAATTGCAAAATGTTAATAATGGTATAAAAGAGTTAATGACATGGAAAATACTGAACATAGTAAAATGAGAAAAGCAGGTTACCAAAAAATATGTATACTAGGACCTTATTTTCTTTAAGAGAAAATTGTATGTATATGTGTATTCACATGGATTCATACTTACTGAAGGACATACACTAAAAATTAATGGTAATAATTTCCAGATAATGAGATGACAGGTGACTTTTTTATTTTACTAAGTTTATTGAGGTGACATTGGTTAGTAAAATTATATGGGTTTCAAGTGTACAATTCTATAATACATCATCTGTTACTGCATTGTACGGTCACCACCCAAAATCAAATAGGTACACTGACTTTGTATCCTGCAACTTTACTGTATGTTGTTTCTAACAGTTTTTTGGTGGAGTCTTTAAAATTTTCTATATTAAGAACCATGTCATCTGCAAAAAGTGATAATTTTACTTCTTCATTCCCAATTTGAATGCCTTTTATTTCTTTTTCTTGCCTGATTGCTGTAACTAGGACTTCCAGTACGATGTTGAGTGAGTAACTGTGAAAGAGTGGCCATCCTTGTCTTAGAGGAAAAGCTTTTAGTTTTTCACCACTAAATATATTAGCTGATGGTTTGTCACAGATGGCCTTTATTATGTAGAGATATTTTCTTTCTATACCCATTTTATTGAGCATTTTAATCATAAGTGGATGTTGTATCTTGTCAAATGCTTTTTCTGCATCTATTGATATGATCATATGACTTTAATCCTTTATTTCATTAATGTGGTATATCACATTGATCGATTTGTGTATGTTGAATCATCCTTGCACCCCTGGAATGAATCCCACGTGATAGTGACATATTATCTTTTTAACGTCTTGTTGTATTCTGTTTGCTAGTATTTTGTTTAGGACTTTTGCATCTGCATTCATCAGAGATACTGGTCTGTAGTTTTCTTTTTGTGTGTGTGTTGTCCTTGCCAGGTTTTTGGTATCAGGGTAACGTTGGCTTCATAAAATGAGTTAGGAAGTATTGCCTCTTCTTCAATTTTTTGGAAGAATTTGAGAAGGATAAGTATCTTCTTTGAATGGCTGGTAGAATTCACTACTAAAGCCACCTGGTCCTGGACTTTTACTTTTGGGAAGGTTTTTGATGATGGTTTCAACTTTCTTACTGTTGATCGGTCTATTTAGATTTTCCAGTTCTTCATGATTTGGTCTAAGAAGGTTATATACTTCTAAGAACTTGTTTAATTTATTCTAGGTTATTGAATTTGGTAGCATATAGTCTCTTTCATAGTATTCTTGTATGATCCTTTGTATTTCTGTGGTGTCCCTCATAATTTTCCCTCTTTCATTTCTGTTTGAGTTTTTTCTCTTTTTCCCTTAATGAGTCTAGCCAGTTTGTCAACCTATTAATCTTTTCAAAGAACCAGGTCTTTGTTGCACTAATTTTTTCTACTGTCCTTTTGTTCTCTATTTCATTTCATTCTGCTCTAATTTTTATTATTTCCTTTCTTCTGTTGAATTTGGGTTGCTTTTATTCTTTTTCTAGCTCTTTAAGATGTAGTGTTAGATTGTTTACTTGGGATTTCTCTCATTTCTTGAGATAGGCCTGTAATGATATAAACTTCCCTCTTATTGCCACTTTTGCTGCATCCCAAAAGTTTTGATATGTTATACTGTAATTCATTTGTCTCTATATAGTTTTTGATCTCTCCTTTTATTTCTTCTTTGACTCAGTTGTTCTGTAGCAGCATGTTGTTTAAGCTCCACATATTTGTGGCTTTTCCTGCTTTCTTTTTGCAGTTGATTTCCAATTTCAAAGTATTGTGGCCAGAGAGTATGTTTTATATGACTTCAACCTTCCTAAATTTGTTGAGGCTGGTTTTCTGTCCCAACATATGGTCTATCCTTGAGAATGTTCCATGTGCACTGGAGAAGAATGTTCTGGGGTGAAAGGCTTTGTCATTTAAGGCCGATATTTCCTTACTGATTTTCTGTTTGGATGATCTATCCATAGCTGTCAACGGGGTATTTAGGTTCCCTACTATAACTGTTTTTGTCAATTTCTCCCTTTAGTTCTGTTAGTAGTTGCTTTATATATTTTGGTGCTCCCTGATTGGATGCATATATATATTGAGAAGTGTTCTGCCTTCTTGATGTAGTATCCCCTTTATCATTATAAACTGTCCATCTTTGTCTCTTGTTACCTTTTTATCTTGAATTCTATTTTGTCAGATATAAGTATGGCTACACCTGCACTTCTCTGGATGCCATTTGTTTGGAGTATCATTTTCCACCCTTTCGCTTTGAGTCTGTATTTGTCCTTGCAGTCTATGGTTGGGTTTTGTTTTTTGAGCCAATCTGCTACTCTATGCCCTTTTATTGGTGAGTTCAGTCCCTTTACATTTAGGGTGATTGTTGTTGTGTGACGATTTCCCATAGGCATTTTATCTTTTGTTTTCTGATAGATCTGTGTTTCCACTGTTCCTTTTCTCTTGTGTTTCTGGCTGTTATTTCAGTTTGGTGATATTCTATGACTTTTTCTCCTCTCCCCTTTTCTATGTTATGTGTCTCAGTTCTAGATTTTTTTGTGTGGTTACCATTAGGTTTATGCAAAAGAAAGTTTCATATGTACAGTAGTCCTTTTTCTTCTGAATATACCTTATTTCCATTCTCCTTTGCAAATTCAGACCTTCATCCTCTCCCCTTTTATGTTTTTGTTGTCACAAATTATCCCTTTTTATGCTGAGTTCATTTTCAAATTGTAGTAGCTACTGTCTTCTCTTTTTAAAATGTTTTTATCTCCCTGATGCTTTATGTTATAATTAAGTATAAAATACCCTATTGTATAAGGGTTGCAATTTCCTTCTTCAGTCTGTCTGTTAGTTATATTACTCATAATTTTGTATCCTTTTGTCTGTTTCAGGAAGAATAACCCCCTTCAATATTTCCTGTAATGCAAGTCTTATAGTAAATTCCCTCAGCTTCTGATGTCTGAAAATGTCTTTATTTCTCCTTCATATCCACAGGATAACTTTGCTGGATAGATTATTGTTGTTTGGTAATTTCTCTCTTTCAATAGTTTGAACATTTGGTTTTACTCTCTCCTAGCTTGTAGGATTTCTGCTGAAAAATCTGATGATAATCTAATGAGATTTCCTTTAAAGGTTACTGTCTTCTTTTCCTGGCTGCCTTGAGAATTCTTTTGTAATTAATTTTTGACAGTTTTAATATAATGTGCCTTGGAGAAGGTCTTTTTGGATTGAGATAATTAGGTGTTCCATTTGCTTTTTGGATTTGAGGATCCAGCTCTTTCCACAGGTTAGAGAAATTCTCATCAACTATTTGTTTGAGTAGGCTCTCTGTTCCCTTCTCCCTTTCCTCTCCTTCTGGTATACCCATTATTCTTATATTGTTCTTTCTAAGGAAGTCAGATAGTTCTCGTGGAGCTCTTTCATTTATTTTTACTCTCAAGTTTCTATCTTCTTCCATCTGCATCATTTCTAGATTTCTATCTTCAATATCACTAATTATTTCCTCCATCTGGTGACCTCTACTTCCTAAGCTCACTAGTTCATTTTTCATCTCTTTTGCTGTATTCTTTAGCGCCAGAATTTCTATTTGGTTATTTTTTAAAGTGTCAATCTCTTTGGTATAGTACTCCATTTATTGATTGATTTTATTTCTGAGTTCATTAAACTGCCTATCTGAGTTTTCTTATGTCTTGTTGAGTTTTTCAGAACTGTAATCTTGAGTTCTCTGTCATTTAAATCACATTATTTCCATGTCTTTCCATTTATTTTCTAGAGATAGATTTTTCTCTTTTTTTCTGAGCTGCCTTGTTACCTTGGTTATTCATGGTATTTGATATGTTATTCCTCTGCCTAAGCATTTATGGGGATGAAATCTGCTTTTTTTAAATAGTAATGATTTTCTATTAGCAGGTTGATAGGATATCTTTCGTTTTCCAGTAGGTGGTGCTGAAGCACAGGTTTTTATTTTCTCTTGACCTACTCTGGCTTCTCTGGCTTCTTAGATCTCTGCCATGTATTTCCTGGAAAGGTGGGCATTTTCTCTGTGACCAGGTAACTTCAGTCTCAGAACACTACCCCTGTGAAGGAATGTGGAGGGAACGATGGGTTCCCAAGCCTGTGAAATCCCAGCGCTGCCCCCTGCAACCAGATGCTGCCTGCACTGCAGAGGTCTCTGTAGACTGGCAAAGGACAGCTTGTGTGTATGTGGCTTTCTTCTCCTCTCAGCAATGTCAACTGTCAGATCTCAGCTCCCATACCGCTATATTTACACCACCACCATCCCCATATCCCCTCCACCCACCA